TCAGGGGAGGGGCGGTTTCCCCAACCCGGGGCGGGGGACGTGGCCGCTTGAGGCGGTTGCGGGAGTATGCAGTGTGACGTCATCCTCCTGGGATCGCCCACTCCCGCGGGAAGCAGGTGGGCGGGGCTGTGCCCTCGCGCCTTGGCTCCCTGTGCCATGCGGGGCCGCCTGCCCACCCCCATAACTTTGTTGCCTGTTCTCTTCCCTGTTCCGGGCCAGGTCTTTGCCAGCTGGCTGCATAGCAGGCAGTTTCTGCCCTCGCAAGGATGGAGGCCGAGCAGATGATGGAGGGGCAGCCCCAGGTATTGCTGGAAGTCTTTTCTGGGGAGTCCCCTGGGCGGGAGGCTGCGGTTCTGCTGACCACACACTGTTTTTTTTTCTTCCAGGTTCCAGAAAACCCCCACGCGGAGTACGGACTCACAGAAAATGTAGAGGTACGTGAGGCTGAGTCTCTGCCACTGATCCAGGGAAACGCGCTGAAGAGAATCCAGGGCTGCCAGGGGCTGGGTGTCTGTCGGAGCTGGCGGACAGTGTGTGTGGCACGCCAGGTGTTGGTACTGGGCAAAGTGGGGTCCCTGCTAGGATGTCATTGTCGTCTGTTGTGCCTTGTGAGTCCCTGGCAGAGCTCCACACCCTAGGATCCTGCTGGGGTCGCTGCTCCTGCTCGTGCTGCCCCTGACTGCCCAGTCCTGGCGTGGTAGGTGATGCAGGTCTTCATGGAGGATCCTGTTCATGGTCCATGTGTTTGATGGTCCTGTGTTATCCACTGAAGTTGACTGTGTAGGCAGCACAGGGGGAGTGTCTAAACACTTGGGGTCTTAGTGTTTTTATTCAAATGTTTTGAATTCAGAGAATCGTAGAAAATGAGAAGATTAACGCTGAGAAAACATCAAAGCAAAAAGTGGATCTTCAGTCATTACCTACGCGTGCCTATTTGGACCAAACAGTTGTGCCTATCTTACTACAGGGACTTGCTGTATTAGCAAAGGAGAGGTAAGATGCTTTAAACGGGCCTGCACTCCTACACAGAAGTCAATTGCAAATACAGGCATTCTCTTCCCAATAAGGGCCTGGAAATCAGAAAGGCTGTTTTAACCAGTTCATAAGAAGTGTGCTGTAGGTAAAAAAAAAAAAAAAAAAA